TCTTTAATCGAATGGTCGCAGTCCACAATTTGTTAAAAGAAAGATTGCTTAAGAATATGTAAACACTATGGCACAGCTTCCATACTGGAATTCACTAGACAGACCCTCTGCCTAAAGTGTAACAAAGTACATGCCAACCAAAGGAGCCTGCCCCCCCTTCCCTACCAAAGCTATTAAACCGAGCACTGGTCTTCTAACGGGCCCCTTCCTCCAGAGGTCTCTATGCATGCGCGGGTCTAAGGAATGGGCGCCATGAGGACTTTCTCAGCTTTGGGACTTTCTTCCTTGGATCCCTTTTTGGTCCTCACTCCCTGTGAGAGGGCATGCTCCTGCCTCGCCCTGCCTCTGGGACTCCAGCCTTCACCCAGTGGCCCTGGATCGTTTTTCAGTTAAAGTCTGGCCCTGTCTTCTGCTATCAGTTCTCTGCTTTTTTCAGAGGGCAAATACTAATGGATTAATGGATTACATTTTACAAGTAACATGTGTACATTCTTGGAAATAGTGCCGCAAACCTCACATGCCTGAGAAACTTCCCTTAAGAGATTTAGGCTAATGGGCCTTTTGGTACCACTATAAATAATATACAGATAGTGGTTTCTTTATGAGTACAGCTTTCAATTTTTAAAGGATACTCAATAATTTATAACATGACTTTTAAAAGTTACTTTTGAAAGTTCTTTGTATTTCTCCATCTTTTTTCCTTTTAAAAGAAAAATGGAGTTTGTCAGCCATAAAATACCATAACACCTCCATGTTTTGCTTTCTTTTTTCCCTTTCTGATTAAGGTACAGCTATCCATGGAAATTGAAATAGTTGGTAAGAATCTGCAGTTAATTATTTTAAAACTCTTTGGTGCTTCATAATTATGGTGGCCCAAAAAAGTTGCCTTAATTTTACCAAGTTCTCCTGTACAGTTTGTCTCACATGAGGAGTCTTACGTGATTTTGAAAAGCTCACACTGTAGTGCAGTGACCTCAAATTTTCATCGAAGGACTAGCTTTTAATAAACTACCAAAAACTTCCATCCATTGCAAATTGATACTTTGAAAAATATAATAAAAATGAATCACTAGAAAATTTAAATTTAAAAAAGATACAGCATAAAGCTTCCCTTATATTATATAAGACAAAATGGCTATCAGGTATAAAAATTTCTGAGTGCTTTGTTTTCTGTTCCCATGATTATCTTGTCATGAGCCGGTAACAGGACCACACTTGAGTCCTCATGAGAACACATGCACAAATGTTACCACCTGTTCTTTTAAGCTTTGTCTGAGGAATAACTGAAAACCAATGTGATCCTCATATGTCTCCCTTTCCCCAATATTTTAAGGCTTTATTTATTTAATATATTTTTATTGATTTGAGAGAGGAAGGGAGAATGAGAGACAGAAGCATCAATGATGAGACAGAATCACTGATCAGCTGCCTCCTGCATGCTCCATACTGTTCTTTAAGGACACCTTTTTGGTTTCTTAGATCACAATCTCTGAGGGGACATACTGTTGACAAAGCATGTATGTTCTGTCGAGTGTCCGAGGCACCGCTGAACGAGGTGGTACAGTGGTCACAGAAAGGACTCCATTGAGTTTAGATTTATATTCTGGAAGCAAAAACTTCAAATAGAAGGAAGAATGATGGTAATAGTAAAGTGTTTTTCTGAACTGCTAAAGAATGTTTACTGTTAGAAACCATGTGATCCATTCTATTGTCATCTTAGGTTGCACCAAATAACCAGTCAGAGAAAGACAAATATCACGATATCATTTATATGTGGAATCTAATGAACAAAATAAACTAACAATATAGATCCAGAGACATAGAAGCATGGACCAGACTGACAGATCTCAGAGAGAGGGGATGGGAGGGGCTGTAAGAGATTAACCAAAGAACATACATGCTTATATGCATAACCCAGACAATGTGGTGACACTATCTTTTTAAAAAATGAATGACAGGCTGCCTGCTTCAAATCATGCAGTAGATAGTTGGGGAGAAGGCAAAGCTGAAACAAGATTGGCCATGAGTTGACATTTTTATTGGAGCTGGGTAATTGGTACGTGGGAAGTCATTATAATTTTTCATGTTTGAAATTTTTATAATAAAAGGTTTTTAAGTCCTCAGAAACAAGTAAACGAAAACAAATAAATAGAAATGTGCCAGACCCATGACCTTGACTGAAGGGTTTGCTTATGCCCGCAGCTGTGGGACCCTGGCCCTGGGGCCTCTCTCCGCAACAGTAGTCACACACACAAAGGAGAGCTTTATTTTCAGGTTTTATTTCATTGTTTGAAACACCTTCACAGTTTGAAACATAATAACTTTTAGCTTAACATTTACAGTGGCTAACTTCTCTGATGTTAACATTTTCCTGTCTCGAAAAATAGACAAAAACCTCAGGCTCTAGCATCAAAAACTTTCCACAGGAATGTTCAGGATGTAGGGAGCTTTAAAAGTGCAAAATAAAGAAATGGAAAGGAGAGGCAACACCTTTCATGACATATTTGGGGGGCAATTTAATGGACATCTGGGTTTGCCCCTGAGGCCTCTCACTGGGCATTCTTTCCCATTTCTCCTTTTATTATGAAGATTTCCACCCCTGACGTCTGGCAAGCTGAGAGGCAGAGTTCTGAAAGCAGGTGGTAAAAGAGGACTCAGACTCCAGCAGCTACTGGATCCAAACCGGTTTCCCGCGGATGGGCGCAGTGTGTGAAAGGAGAAAGACATAAGCAGGTCCTAGACCCCTGTTCTCACCGTGCCTTTCCAGGCCACTGGAAACTGGCACAAGGAACCTGTCCTGGCACAGGCCTGGCTCCCGTGCTGCCCAGGGAAAGGGCACAGGGGTGCACGTTCACACGTGTGTGTGCGGGAGGTGGCCTGAGGTGGGAACTTGGGAACTTCTGTCAAGAGCTAGTGCTACAAATCAATTGTGCAGACCAATTACTCCCTTGCTTTTTGAGTCAGTGCCTTTGGAGTCCCCTAGATCTCTGGTAGCTCCTGTCTGAATATTGCTAAAGATTTCTTCCTGCAAGCCTGGATTCATTACTCAAGGAAAGATGACATAGTAACTTCTGCCGACAACTCCTTATTCTGCCACATGGGAAGTAAAAAAGATGTGGATGTTAAGGACATGAAGTGGGGATGAGAGAAGGGAATATTCTTTCTCTCTTTTTTTTTTAGCTTAAGAGGAAGGGAGAGAGAGAGAGAGATAGAAACATCCATGAGAGAGCACCAACATTGATTGGCTGCCCCCTGCATGCCCCCTGATGGGGATCAAGCCTGCAACCTGGATGTGTGCCCCAATGGGAAATTGAACTAGTGATCCCTTGGTGCATGGGACAGTGCTCAACCAACTGAACCGCACCAGCCGGGCAGAAGGGGATATTCTTACTCTGCTTTGCATGGGCGAATTTGCAGCTAAAGACTGGGGACTCAGCTAATAGCTTCAGCCTCTCTGCTTTGCATGGGCGAATTTGCAGCTAAAGACGGGACTCAGCTAATAGCTTCAGCCTCACCAATAATTGAGATGGCACCTTTGGTCTGTAGCTAAGAATACTGGAGAGAGAAAAGACAATGGAGAATAAATGCAGTCATGGTTTAGAGCTTGCCAAATGGAAGCGGGGATGGAGAAACTTTCAGGTAAACATGCTCACCAACACTTGAGAGAATAAGGCCACAGCCAGCTGAGATCCAGCCCCCAATTTCACAGGGAGCCCCACACCCCAGAGCATTTCATCAATTTCCAGTACTCAGTAGAGTGCTGGTTGCTTTCAGATCACTGAAGAATCCTCGTGCTGACTTCCTGTCATACCACCCGTTACGCAGGCCCAGCTTTCACACAGCCGGGCAGGAGGCCCCTGCAGGCCAGATGCTGCCCACGGTGAAAACTGTGTTCCTCACACTAGCTGATGCTGGGGCCACGGGAGGGAAAATTCATTAATGTTGGACCAAGACAGGAAAAGAAAGATAATTTTGTTTCCTTGTCCCCAATGCTGGTCCCTCAAGAACAAATTAAGCTCTCTTCCCTGAAGTTCCAGGCCATGGGGGTGCTCGCCCCTCTCTGAGCAACTCCCTAAAGCACAGCAGCACCCCTTGGTCTCGTCCGACCTCACGTTTTCTCATAACAGCCCCACAGCAGAGGGTTGGAGGGCAGAGCAGGCAGGAGCACAGACAGCCTGCTGGCTGCACACCTGACCTCGAGCACTCTGGCCTCCGGCATGGGGACGCCTCCAATGACTATATTCTGGGCCGAGCAGAGCACAGTGAGCAAGCAGCCAGTGCCTGCCCTATGCCATTGCCCGCGGGTTAGCACAGCTCTGGGCTGCAGCCACGCAAAGCACTCTTCTTGACTTTCATGCACGTGCAAGAACTGACTTGGTCCAATCCAGAGTCCTCAACTCCATGCAGTCCACTCTGTCCACGGCCGGCAGGCCCATCAGGAATGGGCGGCTGTGGCAGGACAACAGGAGGCTCTTAGCATGGGTTGGTATGTTTGCTCCTTCCACTGGAAAATAGTTTTCCTCTTGAGGTAGGAATGTCATTGGGCTCAGCCTTGGCTAACACTCAACATCCTGTAGCTCAATCTCCTCAGTAGTGCTCTCTGCAAAGCAAAAGACAAGTCCATGAGTTGCAAATCAGCCATAAGGTGGTTTTTGGTGAGAACCAGCTAACGTGGGCTATTCCAGCCATGAAAGCATGAGCTGATTATCACAAGGTCCCGAGAATTACCTTTGAGCTTGTGTCTTCTCTTCCTCTGGAATTTATATGCACACTTATTGCAAACCCACATGAGGCTAATTAACACTGCAGCCACAGCAGCGAGAAAAGCAAGGAAGACTGCGACGAAGTGGAGGTCTTCGTAGAGGATCTCTGTGGGGTGGGGGACGGGGAAGAGGAGGGGGGAAGATAAGTCTTTTTTAATGTCATGGAGTCGGCCTCCCACGCACAGGGCCCCTGGAGCCGTCTTACCTGACACATGCAGCACGATGGTGCCAAACTGGCTGCTCCCCAGGCGCTCGGTCACCGTGATGACATAGTAGCCGGAATCCCTCACGCCCACACTGAATAGCTGGATGGAACCATTGTCAAAGGTGCAGACTCTATCCTTGTGGCTCTGGGAGATGTTGGCCTGAGTCCCTGGCTTCCACTCCACGATCCTCTGCACCCCCCAGGTGGATGTATACTTCCATTCGATGGTGGGGATGCCATGGCAGGAGTATTCCACGGAGAGCAGGATGTCTTCCTCCACCGTGGCATTGATGGCAGACTGGGGAATGTACAATGACACGCCCTGACCTGCAGGATGGAGTGCTAGATGTGGGGCAACTTATATAGACTTACAGTGGCGTGAACTTCTATAATTCATTGATTTATTTATCAAATATCTATTGAGTGCCTATTACATGCCAAGCTCTCTCTTAAGTTCTGGTGTTAATGCTACAATGGTCAATGTTATAGACTGAATTTTATATCCCCCCAGATATCTATATTGAAACATTCATCCCCAATATGGTTGTATTTGGAGTTGGGGCCTCAAAGGAAGTAATTAAGGTTAAATGAGGTCATAAGGGTATGGCTCTGACCCAATAGGATTAAGGTCTTTATAAAAGAAGACACTAGAGCAGTGGTTCTCAACCTTCCTAATGCCGCGACCTTTTAATACAGTTCCTCATGTTTTGGTGACCCCCAATTTCGTTGTTACACAGTGAACATAATTAAAGCATAGTGATTAATCGCAAAAACAATATGTAATTATATATACGTTTTCCGATGGTCTTAGGCGACCCCTGTGAAAGGGTCATTCGAACCCCAAAGGGGTCACGACCCACAGGTTGAGGACCACTGCACCTGAGAGTTCATACCCTCTCCCTGCAGGGGCACACATGGAGGAAAGACCATGTGAAAACACGGCAGGCAGGCAGCTGTCTATATGCCAGGAAGAGAGGTCTTACCAGGAGACCCAACCCTGCCAGCACCTTGATCTTTCCAGCTTCCAGAATTGTGAGGAAATAAATTTCTGTTGTTTCAGCCCTCCAGCCTGAGCTGACAGACAGTGAATAAGACACAAGGTTACTGTCTACTGCTCCCTGGAGCTTTCATTCCGTAAGGGGGATGTACAAGGGCTGAATGAACCAACGAGATCATCTTAGAGAATGACAAGTGCTTTAAGGATGGTGAAACAGGGCATGGTGGCCAGTGGGGATGGCGTGGTGCACACCCTCACATAGAGTGGTCATGGAGGTTCTCCCTGAGCAAAGAGCTTTTGATTGAGACCTAATGGAGGAAAAGGAGGCAGCCAGATAAAGGCATGGGGGAAGCACATTTCAGGCAGAGGGAACAACTACAAAGGCTATGAGGTGAGAGTGGGCATTGCTGTGTTTGAGGGACAGGCATAGGCCAGTAGGCTAGAACACAGGAAGCCCTGGGGAGAGCTTACGAGACAAGATTGGAGAGACAGGCAGGACCCATGAGGTCAAGGTCAGGGGTAAAGTTTTTTACTCATGGGCGATGGGAGGCAATAGAAGAATTAATTGGGAGGGTGACATTCTCCATTAATCTTAAGAATGTCTGCTGTGGAAAATGATCTGGGGGTGAAGGGACCAGAATAGAAGCAGGAAGAGCAGTCAGGTGGCTGTGCACAGGACTGGATAAGAGATGGAGATGTAGCCTTGGAGAGTGAAGAGTGGTCTGATTTAGGGAATTTGGAAGATGGGGGGACATGCTGGTGAACTAGATGTGGGGGTGGGTGAGGCAAAGAAGCATCAAGCCAAGATTTCTGCATGAAATGGGTATATTGTTAGTAGTGTCATTGGCTAAGGTTACGTATATGTTGTTATACTGTATTAAGTAGGTACCTGGCACAGGCCCTATGCTAACTGCTTTACACACATTCTCTCAGCCTCATGCAACCTATTGCGATTCTATCGAGGTTTTGCATGCAAGAAACCTCAGGCTCCACAGGACTAGCTTGTCCAAGTTCACTTTGCAAGGCTGAGATTCACACAAGGGCTGCCGACTCCAAAACCGACATATTTATTTTGTATGCTCAAATCAAAGGTCAGTGGTTGGAGGGAGATGGCCCAGAATGTGACCAATGTCCCCATGCTGAGAGGAGAGGTCAGGGCTGGCTGGAGACCACAGAATGAATAGGGCAGGATTCAAGCTTGGAGGCCATCCCTTGGTTTCCACCTCCACTTTCTGTTTACACCTCTCACTCTTTGGGTGCCCAGTTGCCCTGGGGCCCCTGCTATGGCTCTAGGTCACCACTCCTGTTACTTTTCCAGGCCTTTCTCATTGTCGTCTCCCATTCCCAACATATCACATTTGTGCTGCTCTCCTAAGCCCTGGCTAGGTGACTGATAAATTCCAGGCTGAAAAATTGGGAATAATGGTTTTCAAGTATTATAGCTGTCAAGTTACAGAAATGTATTTTTTCTCCAACTCTATTTTAAAAAATGTTAAGCTCACAGAAAGGTTGAAAGACAAGCACAATCCATATCTATATACCTTCTCCTAGACTCACCAATTATTAACATTTTGCTACATTTGCTTTCTCTCTCTTTTTCTCGGGAAGAAAACAGGGGCCAAATTCCAGGACAGCCCGTGGAGGGCAGGAATTATGTGTTTTCGTCATCTCTGTTGGCCCCCTGAACCCAGCATAACATCTCACATAGTTATTGATTAATAAATGTTTGCTGAGGAAATGAGTAAGTGAATGACCAAATATTTATAGAAGCAAGAAGGATGAGCCATTGCTGATAGGACTGTTGCTGCTTCAGTAGTTTAAAAATTGCAGGCACATCTGGCCCTGGCCAGGTAACTCAGTTGGTTAGAGTGTCGTCCTGATATGCCAAGATTGCTGGTTTGATCTCAGGTCGGGGCACATACAAGAATCAACCAATGAATGCATAAATAAGTGGATTAACTAATTGATATCTGCCTGTCTGTCTCTCTCCTCTCTCCATCTCTCTCTCTCTAAAGTCAATCAATCAATAAAAAATTAGGTACATCTAAAAGCTAACAAACATAAGAAAGAACTACAGTCAAGGGTTTTCTATGCCAGTTACTATATTATTTACTTACTAGTGGCCCAGTGCATGAATTCATGCACATTGAAAGGAAATTAATTAGAAGAAATATTTTAATATTGCTATTCGCCTTCTCTATAATAGAAGTACCAACCACATTCACAGTTGACAATGACAGATAGAAACACACACGTGCGATTGGCACCAGTGAGAGCTTTGTATGTATCATGCATGCGCAAGTCAACTTAGCCTTTAATAGATACAGAACAAACTTGCTTAATTAGACCTGATTTCTGATGTAGCTAAACTTTTTCAAGCCTAGTGAAGCACCCCAACATCTCTTTCAGGTAATTGTCAGCAACACAGCAGTAAATATCAACACGAAGCAAATTATTATTGTAGATCACACAGGGAGAACAAAGGGTAATATATTTAATTGCCGCAGTGTTTGACTATATTCTGCACAGCGAGAAAACCTGAAGTCATTTTCAAGGTCCACCATTTCTTCTTTTCAGTTGGGTCAAGTTTCTAAACTTTCTAAATCTCCATTTTCTGGCTAATGAAAAGAAAATAGGATTCCACCGAGTCTCCTATCTACCTACTCCAGGACTTTTGTGAAGATCAAATGAGAAGAGGCATGTGAAAATGCTTCATAGACATTTGGTTAAAGAATCAAATGTTTGCACCTGGCTATAAAGCAAGTGGTGCTCCTGGGCTGAAGAAACTGCAAGGAGGCTAGTCGTCACTAGGGAGAGGAAGCCAGTCGTTGCTACGTGACGTCATTATCCAGCACCCACAGCCACCATTTCAGGGCTGGGCTGGGCTGTGGGCCGCATTTTCCTCCATGGGGTCTTGGCAGAGTTTTGGTGGGGTGTCACTCGGGGTGGTGGCAGGGCCTGTGTCCCACTTGGGGGAAGCCGAGTGTTGGTTTGTTGGTGTCAGGTCCATGGTGCCAGCCAGTGTGCATCACAGCAGCTCCTGTGTTGAGCACCTGCCCCCTGCTGGTCAGTGCACGTCATAGCAACCGATTAGATGGTCAGACACTTAGCATATTACCCTTTTACATATATAGATTATGTGCTTTACTATCTCTTTTATTTTTTACATGCAAATCAGCAACATGCCCACATAGCTAGGAAATGGCAAAGGTGAGATTTGAATGCAGTTTCTGTATGATCCAAAACCCATCTTTTTCCCACTCTACTTGGTGACTGAAAAGATTTATCTATGATTTATAAAAGATTTTTAAATCATTTATCTATCTATATTTCCTGATTTCTCTGACCACAAATAGGAGCATTTGGAACAGTGATTACTTCAGTAAGATCTGAAGAACCATATGTAGAACTAGTAACAATCTTCATCATCACGTATATGTATTCCATATATGTCCTAGGTCAGTGATGGCGAACCTTTTGAGCTCGGCGTGTCAGCATTTTGAAAAACCCTAACTTAACTCTGGTGCCGTGTCACATATAGAAATTTTTTGATATTTGCAACCATAGTAAAACAAAGATTTATATTTTTGATATTTATTTTATATATTTAAATGCCATTTAACAAAGAAAAATCAGCCAAAAAAATGAGTTCGCGTGTCACCTCTGACATACGTGTCATAGGTTCACCATCACTGTCCTAGGTTAACCATGTTGACCATTATTTGAGCCTTTCAATTACTTTGGCTCAAGAAACAGCAACACTGAAAAACAAACAAAAATAAAACAAGTCCAAGTTTCTCAGATGTTGATGTAAAAAAAAAAAAGAATACAAAAGCATTCACTTTAAAATGGAGCGGAGAGGCCATGACTGAGTAACTTAAGCCTCAAGCCTTTGGGGTGTCAAAACAGGGCAAAATAACATTTGGCCGGGGCCTAAAGTGACATTGTGCCTAAAGAACTGTTTGCAAAGATAACAAGAAAGCAGATATTGTGACTACCAAACTGACAGAAGACTACAGACTGAAAATGAAAAACATTCTTTAGAATTAACATCACTATGTTAGCCTTCCTACACCAATGGAAATGCCTTCCTTCTATTGATATAATTGGCCTCTTCCCTTTCTCGTACCCCTTACTTTTGTTTCTTAAGCAGAACACTATTTGGATTTCTGCCTGAATCAGTGTGTCCTGAATAGCTACTCTTTTCTGATCTCAAATAAGTGCTTGTTGCTTTTCACTTTGGCCTTTTATTTTTAGGTTAACACTGATACAGGTGTAAACTGACCAACTAGTTCACATTGATTTCTGTCCTTTCTCTTGATCAGAAAAACCTCCTCCTAATCAGACAAACTAACCAGGTATTTAAACAGGTTTTAGGAACAACAAGTTTCTCCTCCTGTCAATCTACCACATAATTAGAAATAAATGATCCATAGCAGATGGAAAACTAGCAGTTCCAAGCGTTTAAAGGCAATCTGCTTGTCAACTGTTTAAAAGTTGAATTAATGAGTTACCACCTCTGCACCTCATGCTAAAATTGTTCCAGAACAAGTCCAGAGAAACTTAGTGACTACTAGACTAACATTCAGAGCTGGCTCAAAAGTTCTACTCAAGGAGGTGAGTTCGATAAATCAGGCTCTACTTATACAATGGATGCCAGGCAGCCACAGACAGGAGGAGCTTTGTAAGAGCAAGGAAAGATGTCTATGACATGTTACTAAGTTACAAAATAAATTTATTGCCCAGGCAGTGTGACTCTGTTGGTTGAGTGTCATCCCATGCACCAAGAGGCTGCCAGTTCAATTCCCGGTCAGGGCACATGGCCAGGTTGTGAACTAGATCCCCAGGTGGGGGCTTGAAGGAGGCAGCCAATCGATGTTTCTCTCCCTCTCCCTTCCTCTCTCTCTCAAAAAGGAAAATCAATAAAAGCATATTAAAACATAATTTTATAAAACAGCATAATATGATCTTATTAGAAAAACCTCCTCCTAATCAGACAAACTAACCAGGTATTTAAACAGGTTTTAGGAACAACAAGTTTCTCCTCCTGTCAATCTACCACATAATTAGAAATAAATGATCCATAGCAGATGGAAAACTAGCAGTTCCAAGCGTTTAAAGGCAATCTGCTTGTCAACTGTTTAAAAGTTGAATTAATGAGTTACCACCTCTGCACCTCATGCTAAAATTGTTCCAGAACAAGTCCAGAGAAACTTAGTGACTACTAGACTAACATTCAGAGCTGGCTCAAAAGTTCTACTCAAGGAGGTGAGTTCGATAAATCAGGCTCTACTTATACAATGGATGCCAGGCAGCCACAGACAGGAGGAGCTTTGTAAGAGCAAGGAAAGATGTCTATGACATGTTACTAAGTTACAAAATAAATTTATTGCCCAGGCAGTGTGACTCTGTTGGTTGAGTGTCATCCCATGCACCAAGAGGCTGCCAGTTCAATTCCCGGTCAGGGCACATGGCCAGGTTGTGAACTAGATCCCCAGGTGGGGGCTTGAGGAGGCAGCCAATCGATGTTTCTCTCCCTCTCCCTTCCTCTCTCTCTCAAAAAGGAAAATCAATAAAAGCATATTAAAACATAAATTTATAAAACAGCATAATATGATCTTATTTATATTTGTGTAAATATGTGCTAATATGTAGAAAAATGTTGCAATATATGCTAAACTGTTAACGGGAATTTCTCCTTAGAGACTGGATGACAACAAGATATTATTTTGTTATACATTTATATAATTTTTAACTTTTCAGTTACTCATTGAATAAATAAAACAATTAGCCAAAACCGGTTTGGCTCAGTGGATAGAGCGTCGGCTTGCGGACTGAGGGGGTCCCGGGTTCGATTCCGGTCAAGGGCATGTTCCTGGGTTGCGGGCACATCCCCAGTGGGGGATGTGCAGGAGGCAGCTGATCGATGTTTCTCCCCCCCTATCTCTCTCCCTTCCTCTCTGTAAAAACTCAATAAAAAATATATTTAAAAAAATAATAATAAATAAAGCAATTAGTGTATTATGCTAAGTGAAAAAAGCCAGTCAGAGAAAGATAAGTATCACATGATCTCACTCATATGTGGAATCTAATGAACAAAATAAACTGATGAACAAAATAGATCCAGAGACATAGAAGCTAGAACAGACTGTCCAACCTCAGAGGGAAGGCGGGGAAGGGTGGTGGGTCGGAGGAGATCAACCAAAGACCTTGTATGCAAATATATATAACCCATGGACACAGACAATAGGATGGTGAAGGCCTGGGGTCAGAGGTGGAGGGTCGTGCCAGAAGAGTTCAGTGTGGGGAGAAGGGGCACGGAAGGGACATAAGTAATACTTTCAACAATAAAGATTAAAAAAAATATTTTTAAAAGTATTTTTTAAGTTCTCCTGGTTAGAACAAACAATCTCACTGGCAAAGTTTAAAGAAAAGTTCAGTGTAAAAGTTTACCTTGCTTCTCATTATTTAGAAGTTTTGGGATGTTTTTGTCAGAAATATACTGGAGGAACCTAACTCTTATTTGTATCAATCAGGCTAGGGTTAATTTGGTTTCATCATAACATTGTTTTGTTTTAAAGTCTCAGTTTCCAAGAATCTATCGACATGGTAAGTGAGAACTTATACTCAGAATGGTTCCTTATTTCTTTTCTTAGAAATAAATTACAGAGGTAGAGCTTTGCTGCTTTTAAAAACATATTATTTGACCCAGCGATCCCTCTCCTGGGCATCTACCTGAAAAACTCGAAATCATGTATCCGCAAAGATATATGCACCCCTATGTTCACTGCAGCATTATTAACAGCCAAGACATGGAAACAACCTAAGTGTCCCACAATAGAGGACTGGATCAAGACGTGCTACATGTACACAATGGAGTACTACTCAGCCAAAAGAAGGGATGAAATAGCACCATGTGCCACAGCGTGGATAGACCTTGAGAACGTTGTGCTGAGTGAACTATGTCAGTCAGGGAACGCCTAAGAACCATATGATTTCCCTCATATGTGGGATATAAAACTGAAATTGGTGAACACAAACAGCAGTGTGGTGACTGCCAGAGGGAAGGCATTGGGGGAAGAAGGGGTCCTGATGTAAGGTGACAGGAGAAGATCTGACTTTGGGTGGTGGGCACACTTTGGTGCAAGATACAGATCTTATAACACAGAAACCCACACCTGAAACCTATTTGTTCATGTTGACCAGTGTCACCCCAACCAGTTTAATAAATAAACATTACAAATAAGTAAATAAAAATGTATTCTTTAAAAAGGATCTATTTTCTGAAATCACAACAAAGGTCGATACTGTTCAGAACACAGTTCCTGTGGACCAGAGTATCAGCTAACGGTGAGAGGTACATTGCCCGCGTGGCCTCTGAGTTTAAGGAGTCGTGGAGGAGACCCCTTAATCAGGACATTTTCACCCTCATCCGGAAAGCCATCGACCCAGCCTTGCGATTATCAGAGGCAGCTGGGAACCAGGAAATAAGTATCTCATCATTGTTGTCTTCATCCTTATTGAGCTTGGAAGCAGCTAAACCAGGAATCAGAAAGCCAGGGCTCAGGAGTGGGGGGTGGAGTGATGAATCATCCTACAAAAGCGTTATTTCCAGTTATTTCCGTTGGCATCAAGGTGTGGTGGAGACACCTGAGGCAGGGGGACCCACAGAGGTTCAGCCTTTCTGTCTCCTTGCTGTGAGACCTGCCGAAAGTGCCTTCACTTCCCAGAGCCTCAGTGTCTTCCACTTAGAACGAGGCCTGGAAAACCTCGGGGAGGAAGGCTGTGAGGATGAGGGACACGTGGAAGGCCCAGCAAGGACGAGCACCGAGGGCTGACCCAGGATCTGAAGCCCCACCACCTGCCCTTCTCACAGTAGTTCTGTGTCGCTGGCCATTGTGACCAACCTTTCTGGTTTGCCTGGGTGAGGGGTTTCCTAGAAGGTGATGAGTGTCAGTGCTAAAATCAGGAAAGCCACAGGCAAACCAGAACAATTGGCCACCCTACCTGAGACTCAAAGGAATGTCAAAGAGCAAAGAGTCAACTCCGAGGTGTACAAGAGCTGATTTCTAAGGCGCCCCAGGCTCTCGGAATGGGTGGGGGTAGGACAGCCAGCTCTGGGTAAGCTGAGGGTGGACAAAGCCATTCCTCCCTTAACACTGGCTCTGAACACACCTCCCAGGGGTGAGCGCTCCCACTGCCAGCCCATCTCGGTGGGGACCTCCCACTCGTTAGGGAACCTCGCCTGCACTCGCCACACTTCCCCCACTGCCTGCTGAGTATTATAATCCCCGTTTTACTGAGGACAACTCCAGTCCGCTGGAGTTTGGGAAGAGGCGAGACCCTCATTTAAGCGGAGGCTGGAAGAATAAGACATGAAAAGCATGGAGAAGGGAGGGAGCCCAATCCCAGCGGGGAGAACAGTG